CATTGTAGTATTAGGCTAGATAGGATCTGCCACATGTAGTCTGGGCGCCGAGCGCCAATAGGATATCAACTCTTGTTCTTCGTTGATGATGATGAGAGACTATTTCAGCATTGTCAATTACGAACTATTGGTGTGTTCTTATTTGGTGAATCTCGTGATGCATTTCTGCTGTTGGTTCGAGGTCAAGACTATCTGGACTCGTATGTATGATGCTGTTTGATTGCTGGAGTTCGCTAATGCTCATCTTCCTTGCATTTTGCAGTATTAGTGAGAAAAGGAAGAGCCTTAGCTACCGGTAGCTCTAGGGTCGGCAAGGCTCAACTTACCGGTAGCTCCAGGTTCAGAGTTAATAACTGAGAAAGGTTACCGTACTAATGGTTTAATATACTTGAAGAAACTTCAGAAAGGATTTTTTTTATTTTTTTTTTTGAAGACCAGGAGGTTCTAATTAGTGAAGTGAGAGTGTGGAATCAGTGCAGAATACTGCAGCGAGTCTGTACACCCAAACACAACAATTGCACTAAAGAGAATACACAACCTTGATCGAAGATAGTCAACCCGTATCACCAGATCGAAAATGACGAAAGAATAAAGCGTATGTCACCAGGTAGGTGCCATAACGTTGTCAGGCGGCTGCCCAACAGCTGGGAGCTTCTTCCCAAAAAGAAGAAAGAAAACTTGGTCTTTGCTGTTTGATTTTATATGGTTTGGATGGGTGATTGCCTGTGACTGATGGGTTCTGGGCGATCTCGAGGGACAAGCGGCCCCGCACTAACCCCGGGCGAAGGGGGGGGACGGGCGTTAAGGAAGCCATAGGCGGGGGCTCGTGGACTGCAAGGATCTGAGTATTGGAAGACCTGACCAGGAGACCGGTTGTGAAGGGACGGACTCTGGGCAATGGCTGGCGAACCCGAAAGGGGCAGGGTGCGGACCTCAAAACACGAAAAGACTAGGGATCAAGGTAAAGGTACCCTACGGTGTCAATACGATCAAGGATCTACCCAGGTGTAGAAGTAAGAGATCTGAAGGTCCAGAGTGGGACGACCGAGATCCCTGGGAAGGGTCATGGGGTCTGGTCACTCCGGGGGAGTCATGAACTTTGGGGCCAGTCGCAATCCAGCCCCTGCGCAGAGAAGAAACTAGGCACCCAAAAGGCACCTGGTGGACCAAAAGGCAGTGTCCGGACTACCACCGATGATAACGGGGAGGGGGCGTCAGTAGATCCCGGACCTAGGGGGTGATGAGTGAGCGTGGGAAGGTTGGAGAGAATGATGGGGGGAGGGGGTTGAGACTTTGAACTTAAAGGGCTACTCTAGCAGGGGAGAAAAGGGGAGGGTTCCGGGATTATGGTCGGGATTATGGTCGTTTGAAGCTATGGGGGAGGGAGAGCCTACAGAAAGGGGGAGGTAAGTTGAGGTTAGTGGACGCCTGAGGTATGGTGAAAGATAAAAGGGGGGGTGAAAGGAAGAAAGAAGTGGGAGCAGATGCACTGAGGAAAAATCTTTTTTTTCGAATCGCCAACTGTCAAGTTAGCTGCCTGTCGCAGCCCAAGAACTGCTGCGCAGGGCAGCTCAGATCGGTTGCAACGCGCTTAGCCCTGAAGTGGGAGCAGATGCACTGAGGATAATTTTTTTTTTTCGAATAGTCTACTGTCAAGTTAGCTGCCTGTGGCAGCTCAAGAACTGCTGCGCAGGGCAGCTCAGATCCGTTACAACGCACTTAGCCCTGAAGTGGGGGCAGATCCACTGAGGAAAAATGTTTTTTTTTCGAATCCTCAACTGTCAAGTTTCCTGCCTATGGCAGCCCAAGAACTGCTACCCAGGGCAGCTCAGATCGGTTACAATGCACTTAGCCCTGAAGTGGGGGCAGATGCACTGAGAAAAAATGTTTTTTTTCGAATCTTCAACCGTCAAGTTAGATGCCTGTGGCAGCCCAAGAACTGCTGCACAGGGCAGCTCATTTCGGTTACAACGCACTTAGCCCTGAAGTGGGGGCAGATGCACTGAGGAAAAATGTTTGTTTTTGAATCATCAACTGTCGAGTTAGCTGCCTGTGGCAGCCCAAGAACTGCTGCGCAGGGCAGCTCA